CTTCCTCCCTGCTAATGTCCAGGGAAAAGCATCAGAAGATGATCCAAGTGTTTGGGATCCTGCTACCCCATAGGAGATTCAGCAGTAATTTCTGGCTCATGGCAGCCTAGCCCAGCCCCGCCCCAGCCATCTAAGAAGTGAAACAGTGGATAGAATATGGAATATCCTTCTCCCTTCCTCTTTCCCTCCCTCTCAATCTTACTTTCAAATAATTTTAAGCTCACACACACACAACAGTAGTAGTGCAGCAACTTAAACTTCTGCTGTGATAGCCGTTACTTGTGTCATAATACCAGTATACTGATCTGGCTCCCTGCTAATAAGCCTAAGAAAGCAGTAAGAAGGTGGCACAAGTGGTTGTGCTTCTGCCACTCGCTGGGAAGATCACAATGGAATTTCTGGCTCCTAGATTTGGCTTGACCAATTCCCATCTGTTGCCAACACTGAATGGAAAAAAAATCTCTCTTTCTCTCTCTCCTCTCTGTTTCCCTCTCTCTCCTCTCTTTCTCTATCTCTCTTCCCCTCCTCCTCCCTCCCCACCCCACATACACTGTGTTGCTCTCCACCTCTATCTCTGTCACTCTGCCTTTCAAATAAAATAAAGTGAAATATTTTTGAGTATTTGTCTGAAAGGCAGAATGAGAGAGAGTTGATTGATTTTTAATCCACTAGGTCACTCCCCAAATAATCACGATAGCTAGTGCTGGTCCAGGCTGAAGTCAGGATCCCAAAACTCCATCCAGGTTTCCCACGTGGGTGGCAGGGGCCCAAACACTTGTATTATCTTTTTTAAAAAAGATTTATTGATTTTTGTTGGAAAGTCAGATACACAGACAGGAGGAGAGACAGAAAGACCTTGCATCCAGTGATTCACTCCCAAAATAGCTGTAGTGGCTGGAGCTGAGCCAATCAGAAGCCAGGAACCCAGAGCCTCTTCCCCGTCTCCCACATGGGTGTAGGGTCCCAAGGCTTTGGGCCATCCTCGAATGCTTTCCCAGGTCACAAGCAGGGAGGTAGATGGGAAATGGGGCTGCTGGTATTAGAACCGGTACCCATATGGAATCCCAGTACATTCAAGGCAAGGAGTTTAGCCTCTGGGCTACCACGCCAGGCCCATACTTGTGCTATCTTGTGCTGCCTTCCCAGGCACATTAGCAAAGAGCTGGATCAGAAGTGGAACAGCCAGGACTTCAATGAAATACTTCAACTCACTGCATTGTAACACTGGCAAAATAGATCTTTCAAACAGATATGCACATTTGGATTATATTCAGCAGTCCACTAAAATTAAAAAAAAATTTCTCGTGGAAAACAAAATGAAAAGATTATTTTGATATATTTTTTAAATCCCATGAATAGTTTTTTAATAGCCTACATTTCCATAAACTTTTTGAAGAGCCCTGTGTTTGTATTTCTCATGTCTTTAATGGTTAAGTAATACGTAATTATATGGACATATTTATCTCTTAACAGACATCTATGTTAGAAGATTTTAGCTTGTGATAAATGTATAAGTTCACTTTGGGCAAGCACATGTTGTTTTATTGGGTCTACAGCTGACTGTGGAATTGGTGGCTTAATAAGGTAAATCTAACTTTTGAGACACCATCAAACTGTTTTTTACAGTTTGGCCGATTTTCAGTGTTTTTGCTTGTCGCAGTGCAAGAACTTAGCTGACCTGACCTTTTTTGGTTGATCTAGACATGCTGGTTCCACACTGATAGGACACCCTGAGAAGTCCATGGTCTCACTTCTGTGCTGTTTCCTCCAGGGATAGCTGGCCTCAGTTTCATTGTGAGAAAACTTGCCCTTTGTCTTGAATCGCTTCCCATTATCTTAGGGGCATCAGGGTGATGAGACAAAACGGGAGACTAAGAAACTGCTGCATATCATGGGAGAATAGGGAGAAAGTCCTGCTGGGATCCAGGCACATAAAAGACATTAATGGAAACACTGAAAGGATCTTTAGTTTGGTTAATGATATTGTTAATTTTCCAGTTCTCATCATATTGTGTGAGGGACATATTAAAAGTTTATATATTATTTTTGGAAATTGTGTGTAAAGGGAGTTCAAATTTTTAAAAAGCAAAAAAACGCAAAAAAAAAAAATCCCAGAAAACTTAGAAAGAAATCCATTTGTCCTTGTTTACATGTCTGCAGGCTGGCTACACTGACAGACTGCTGCCAGATTACGTGATGCTCACCAGGGCTCTGTCGAGATCCACAGTTGCATCCAGCTCTGTTGTGGGTCTCCTTACAGAAGGCTAGTAATGGCAAGTCCTTTTTTTCTCATGGTGGTGACAGAATCCCAGGACTATCCAGTTGCAAATGCATGTTTGGTATATGTGTTTGGTACATTTGCTGGTATCCCGTGGCTCAGATTGTGTCACAAGCCAGGTCCAAAATCAAGAGGCAGGAAGGTACCACTTATCTGTGACTGATGAGAGGATCTGCCAAGTTTCATGGCAAAGGGTATAACTGGCAGGGAGAAAGAGAACTGGTGATAATAGTATATTCTACCACAGATCCCCCTGACCCCTGGGGAAACGTGGATTTTTTTTTTTAACCTGTTGTGATGGGAGTAATTGAAGTCAGTGACAGTCTGCATAGAAGTCAGAACTCATATGTGCGGTGGCCTTATTTACTGTGCAAAGGATTTCCCCAGGCTGGGACACTCGGCCTTGGGATTGGCCTCTGAGGAGCCAGCGGTGAACACACTGGCCCTGAGGGTTTTGTGGTGGTCAGTTGGCTTCTCTGGGGGCTTCTGTTCTTCTCTGCCTGTGCCTTTCCTCCCTTCCCTCCTCAGTTCCCTAACTCCCCCTGTGGCCTTTTCCTGACTTATCTTTGCCTTTGGCGCTTTCCTGGTGTTATTCCCAGTACTTTTGTTGCTTCTTGGAGACCCTTGCAGGTCAGATCACATTTTCTTTCTAAGTTGGCCTTTTTCCCAGTGGGGTGGAAATACTTAAAATACTGCATGCTCATTTGCCTCTGCCAAGACTGCTGCCATGACTACTTTTTTATATTTTAAATGAGCACAACCTGTATTTTCAGTTAATACTATTGTGGTTGCTCTTGCCCCCTGCGGCAGCTTATGTGAAGGGAGCAATTTTGGAATTTTCCCCAAATAAAATAAATTGATTCAGATAAGATCCCAGTCTCCTCTTTGCCAGCCTAGCAGGGTGCATAACCTGTTATGTCTGGGGCTTCTAAATGCTTGTGCTTTTTTTTTTTTCATTTCTGTGGCCAGGCAGAAGTCTGAAAACTCAAAATATTGTTATTACTTGTGTAATAAACTATTAACATGAGTAGTTGTTAGGATTATACCTGTTTCATGAAAACCCTTTCAATCTCTTCATATACCTACAGAATTGCCTGTATTTCCTCTCTTACTAAAAATTTCATTGAAGAGACAATTTTGAGTTTACCATGAATAGGCCCCTATACTACCAGCTACATTTTTTTTATAAAGATTTATTTATGTGGAAAGCAAATTTATTTAGAAGGCCGGTTGTCTCTCCAAGTGTCCAAGCCTGAGGCAAGCCAAAGCCAGGAGCCAGACTGTGTGAAAGGCAGGAGCTCAAGCACTTGTGCCACGTTTCACTGCCTTCCTGGGCACATACACAGGGAGTTAACTGCACATAAACAGCCAGGACTCAAACCAGCACTTATATGTGATATCATAGATAGATATAATAGATATCATATACAGATACAGTTTATGCACCTATCGCACCAAAATAGTTTATTATGATAGAAAGATAACTACTGATTGTGTTATATGCTGAGAAGGGTTCGTGGTGCTATGAAAGCCTTAGGAATGGATAGGTCAGATTTGAGGAAGTAAGAATGCTTCTCAGAAGAATTGACCCTGAGCTGGATTGGAGTGATTAGGAGATGGACGCTGAGATTGGAAAGAACATTGTGGGCCAAAAGAGTAGCAGGTGACTGATCCCCTGGTAGGGGATAAAGGTAGGCACAGTATAAAGGTAGGCACAGACCAGATGCTGCAAGGCTTCACTGACCGCAGGTCGCAGTCCTGTCTGTCCAGTAATAGACTGGAATGGTGAGGCTAGAAGTAATGGAATGGTAGAAATTCTTATTTTTAAAAAAAAATGAAGAAAAAGGAAATGAAAAAGATCCTTTATGAAGAGCAGTTGAGTAAGAGGTGGCAATAGACTTAGGTAGGGGACCAGTTGGAAGGCTAATAAGGTGTCCACATGACAGATGATGATAGTCTCACAAAAACAAATGCAGAAGGATGGAAAGAAGGACTGGAATTTGAGACAAGTTTTGCAGGAGAAATCAACGCATGTGGGCGGCAGATGCAGTGAGAGGACAGTGAAGTGGAGAGGATCCTCAGTGGGACCTGTCTGGCATTCACCTGGGAAGGGCCCTTTCTGTATTCAGCTTGGGGTCTTCAGGTGAGGCAGACCCTCCCCTTTGTAGATTCAGGGATGAAATCAATGCTTAGGAAGTTGACTCCACCCCTTTCCCATAGAAACAGCATAGAGGTCACTAATTTTATGCTGTTCTTGCTTGTGAGAACTCCTCTCAGAATCTTCTCAGCCATTAATTCAGTTTCTCCTGACAAAACCAGCACAGGCCTCTTGAAGCTGCAGCAGGTCCGCATTCCCCACAGTCCTCCCAGTTGTGCCTGCTTGACTTACTCCGTAGCTCGTGGGACCTGCTGGTTTCTGTGCCTGGCCCTGCCATATGAGGTTTCCACCACTAAGGTTTCCCTTCCTTGCCCAACCTGGGCCTCACATTTTGCTTCATTTGACATCCAACACCCTCATGAAGAAACCTCTCCAGAGAAGCGTATCTTCACTGTGATTTATTTTTACTTACTTAATTAATTTAGTCTTTGTAACGCCTTAGTTGATCTTAGAGATTGCTGTGCACACAGGCTCGTGTACTATCAGTTCTTCTATGTTTTAGCTAAAGATGCAGTAAATTCTTCCAAGAGCTGTCTAACTCACTAGTCTTTTCTTGGCTTTCAGGTCAAGCTGTCCCTGCTGGATCCCATGTGAGGCTAAATCTTCAGACTGGAGCAAGAGAAGTGAAACTACAGTATGAAGACAAGTTTCAGAATAATTTGAAAGGCTTGAAAAAAGGCAAAAGGTATATAATCAACTGTAGGGCCCAGGAGGCTAAGTAATGACATTGATTTTCTATTACGAAAAGTGATATCCAACTTTGTGTGACTTGTTAGTTATCTTTAATTTGAAATTTAATAGCATAAAATTTGTGATAAATTTGTCAGAGTTATGGAATTTTGTTTCAATTGTCTTTGAAAAAAAAATAGTTTGAAAAGCAAACGGATACTTCAAAAAAGACTATAAGGAGAATGCTTAACCTGCTTTAAAAATGAAGCTATTTTTCCTAGTACTTTAAGAGCACCCATTTGAATCCCAACAATTAATGCACTGATTACAGATGAGTCATCTATTCATTAAAACAAGGCCTGTTAGGCCTTCTGCTTTGCAGTAATACTTCCTTGGTGAACAATAAAATTGCATTTTAAAGTCTTTAATTCAGGCTAACTTTTCTTCTTGTTAGTATTAAACCAGGCTTCTTTGTAGTATAAGAGTAGAATTACTGCAAGTCTGTAGTGGATAGAGTTTGTCTTAATTTTTTAAAAGTCAGTTTAGATTTATTTGATTTTAAAGATTTCACATTATTTTTTATTTGTTGCCTTGCATTTAACATGCTTTTTGTTCATTTTTGCTTTGGTCTTTTCTGAATGAGGGCAAAGGATGTTGAGGAATGGGCTTGCAAGGATTGCTAGAATTTTGCAGTCTGACACCTCAAAATAAATATCAGCCATAAAACTGTAACACATGGACTAGTACATTATGGCCTGTGGGCCATATTGGGAATGTTGTCTGTTTTGGCTGGCTGACAAGCTAAGCTGATTTTTACATTTTTTCATGGTTGAGAAAAAATTGAAAAGAATATTTCATGACTCATGAAATTTATATGCAATTCATGGTTCAATGTCCATAAATAAAATTTTATGGGAACATACTCATGCTCATTTTTTAACATATTGTCTATAGATTCCTTCTTACCACAGTGTCAGAGCTAATTGGTTGGGGACAGAGAACCTAAGGGTCACAACATCTACAGTATTATCTGCTGTTTTGTTTTTAAAGATCTGTTTATTTGAAAGAAGGAGTTACAGAGAAAAAGATCTTCATCTACTGGCTCATTCTCCAAATGCCTGCCACTTCCAGGATCTGAAAAGTCCAAAGCTAGGGCCTAGAGTTGGTTTGTTTGTTTGTTCGTTTTTGTTGTTTTGTTTTTAAGATTTTATTTTTATTGCAAAGTCAGATCTACAGAGAGGAAGACAGACAGAGAGAAAGATCTTCCATCCGATGACTCACTCCCCAAGTGACCACAAGGGCTGATGCTACTCCAATCCGAAGCCAGGAGCCAGGAACTTCTTCCAGGTTTCCCATACAGATGCAGTGTCCCAAGGCCCTGGGCCATCCTCAACTGCTTTCCCAGGCCACAGTCAGGAAGCTGGATGGGAAGTGGGGCTGCCGGTATTAGAACTGGAGCCCATATGGGATCCCGGCACATTTAAGGCAAGGACTTTAATCACTAGGGCACTGGGCCTAGAACTTTTTCCGGGTCTCTACACGAGTACAATGGCCCAAGTACTTAGACCATCTGTTGCTGCTTTTCCAGGTGCATTAGCAGGGAACTAGATAGGAAATGTAGCAGTTGGGACTCAAACAACTGGAACTTATACACCACCCAGGCATTGGCTTCTGGCCCCATTACTTGCTCCTTACAGGTGGTTTTGCTGACCCCTGTTTTAAATCATGTAGCTGGACCCAGTGTGATGGCTCAATGGTTAAATCCTCACCTTGCAAGCTCCAGGATCCTATATGGGCACTGGCTCATGTCCCGGATACCCAACTTCTGACCTAGTTCCCTGCATATGGCATGGGAAAATAGTAGAGGACAGCTCAAAGCCTTGGGACCCTGTACCCACATGGGAAATCCAGAGAAGTTCCTGCCTTATATTGGCTCAGCTCTGGCTGTTGTGGCCATTTGGTGAGTGAACCAGTGGATGGGAGATCTTTCTCTCTGTCTATCCTTCTCTCTGTAAATCTGAACTTCCTTTCCAATAAAAATAAATAAATATTTAAAAGTAAAGAAATAATTATTATAGTTGGCAGAAGCCAGGAGCTTGTAACAGGTCTCCAACATGGGTACAGAGTCTTAAGGCTTTGGGCCACTTTCTACTGCTTTCCCAGGCCACAGGCAGAGAGCTGAATGGAAAGTAGAGCAGCCAGGACATGAACCAGTGCCCATATGGGATTCTGATGCCACCGAACCATAGTACTGGACTCAAAAATTATGGGAAGAGACTGTATCTGAGAGCTCTGGAGAGTTTGTGGTCTTTTGACAGTTGCCCGAAGAGTAACCCTGATGTCCTTGATTCTGTTCTTGCTCTAAAACATACTTTGAACTTAAGGTTTTGCTAGTACAAAAATGCACATTAAAAAAATAAAAACTTTTATTTGGAAGAGTTACAGACAGAGTGGAGAGAAATTCTATCTGCTGGTTTACTCCTCAGGTGGCCACAGTGAACACAGTGACCACAGCTCAGCCAGGGCAAAGCCAGGAGCTTCTTCCCAGTTTTTCAAATATATTTAGGGGCCTAAGCAATTGGACCATATTCTGCTGCTTTTCCCAGGCCATTAGCAGGAAGCTGAATTGGAAGTGGAGCAGACAGTTAATGCGTAGAGCCAATGATTAGAAGATGAGGAAGTTCATGACGATGATTTTTATTGTCTCACTAAAAAACAAATTGAGAACATACCAGCTTACTGTGTGTGTGTGTGTGTCTGTCTCTGTGTAGGGTAATGGGGACTGTTTGGTGATGAAGGATGATCACCTAGGACATTGGGAAATAGGGCAATAGACAGAGATGGGAGTTAAATTGGGTTTGATCCTGGCCAAATGTTAAGGGTTGGAGGAGGTAAGCTGTCAAGCTGTCACTCTTGATTCCTTACCTGTCTCTTAGGTAGGGTACAGGTCAGTGACCTGTCAAGCAGTTGACAGGGACAGTGCTCCATGGAAAGAGAGATTGTGAACTTACCCTTACTTTGTAGGATTGTGTTAAGTCTTTGAGTGAAATATTACTTTTAAGAGATTGGCACACTATCTGACACATAATGAAGTGCTCAATAAATGGAAATGACTAGCTATTACTAGTGTAGGAGGACTGAGGTTGGAGAAAGCACATGCATTCCTCAAGACCCTAGTGCATCTCTAGGAAGAATCAAAGACAGAATGATCCAGACTCCTAGTACGTGGCCCTTTCCTTACAACTAACTCCTGCTGGGTTCTTGAACAATATGATTGATGCTTTTCTCTTGCCTAAAATAGAGCAAGCCATCAGCCCCTTTGCTCTTGCCCCACCTCTGAAATTTTCTGAGTTTTCCTTAACTCAGCCATAGCTACACAGCCTTAACACAGTCATACTCCACACTTACCTTTGTGCACACCAGCCTTGTGCTTGCTTCTGTTCAGTGAACTGAAATGAGTGCTAGTGTATGAACCTGTGACCCTCCATGCATACCTTTTTCTCCAGTCACAACAAAGAATTGGGGCTTGGATCAGCTCTAGTGGTCTTCTCCTTCTCCTTAGAAGTTGGCTTTGGGAAGTGACTGGCCTTGTTTCCTCACCTCTATATCTCAAATCACTTCTTTTGTCAGGCTACTGAACATCACCTACCTCTCCAAGCTCAAAGATTAATCTTACAATGTGAATCTATCCAGGCTGTTTTTGTGAAGACAGGAAGACTTAGTGAACCAATTCAGGCACACTCTGGGATTTGAATCTCTGTCCTCCCCTTTGCTGGAAGAATATAAGTGGAGATGGATGTTCTCCATGTGTCTGTGCCCACTGTCCTCCATGATATTCTGCCTTGTCATAAGCTGAGAGCAGCATCACACTTTCCAGGCTTGTGTTACCTGAGCAATGGAGTTAGAGCTCTGTCTCCAGGCATTTTCTGTCTGTCTGTCTCAGGGCATTTTCTCCTGTCATGTAATAGCCACACCTGCAGTTACATTTTTCCTCCTCTGGCTTCAAAGTAAAGTTGTTGTGTCTGACACCTGGTTGCCTGAAGGTAAAGGTCTGATATTGCACTCAGAATTAGAACTGGACTGGTGCTGCCTACCTTAGCATGCCAGCCATCCAGGGGCATTGTCTTTCTCAGGGAATGTGAGAGCTTCTGCCTGACTCTGCTTCTCTTTGGACAGACTGGACATCAACACCAATACCTACACATCTGAGGAACTCAAGAGTGCTCTGGCAAAATTCAAGGAGGGAACAGACATGGAGAGCTCAAAGGAAGACCAGGTATGTTATATTCTTTCTGGTTAGTATAAGCCTGCAACATAGATGTCTGGTCTTTTACAAAATAATCATTTTCTGGAAGAGTTTTCAATAAACATGGGGCAATAAAATGCTAAAACAATTTAAAGAGCTGTTCATAACAATAAGAATCCTCCATAGGCTATTTTAAGAAATTGTGGGAGCATTTTTGCCATCATTTAGATTTAGATTATCATCCAACTTTCCATTTCCTGTTTGGAGAAATTGATACAACAGAGGTGTCTGTCCATAGACTTAGGTGGGGTAAACAGAGAGCAACCCAAATTTTCTATATCCCTTTGCCCTTACCACCCCCTTTCTCCCATTCTGTCCCTCCCTGTGTCACTGCTTTTTAAATACATTTTAAAAAGTTTTTATTTGAAAAGAAGGCTTACAGAGAGAAAGAGCGAGACAGAGAAGGCTCTTCCATCTGCTGGTTCACTCCCCAAATGGCCACAACCCCAGAACTGAGCCTATCTGAAGCCGGGTATTTTTTTTTTTTTTGACAATCTTTACATAGTTAATTAGGGTAAAAAGGTTCAAGGGCTGGGCCCGGCATGATGGCGCAAGTGGTTAAGGTCCTCACCTTGCATGCCCGGGATCCCATATGGGAGCTGGTTCTAATCCTGGCAGCCCCGCTTCCCGTCCAGCTCCCTGCCTGTGGCCCGGGAAAGCAGTCGAGGACGGCCCAAAGCTTTGGGACCCTGCACCCGCATGGGAGACCCGGAAGAGGCTCCTGGCTTCGGATTGGCATAGCATCGGCCGTTGCGCTCACTTGGGAAGTGAATCATCGGAAGGAAGATCTTCCTCTCTGTCTCTCCTCTCTGTATATCTGCCTTTCCAATAAAAATAAATAAATCTTTAAAAAGGGTTCAAGGGCTATAGAAAGTGGGTAAGACTAGTATTTTTTCCATATTGTTTTCTTCATGTTTAAAGGGGGGTATTAAGGGAGAAGGCCCACCTAATTTCCCACCCTCCCTAGGTCTCGGATGTAGGGTACCCTCTGAGGTTCTTGCTCAAGTGGTTTTGATATTTCAACAGTTATGAGTCGCTGCCAATCTTGCCACTCCAAGCACTATGAGGTCCTTGAAGAATCCACTGATTGACATAGTCCATCATAGCTGAGATGATTGGTTGACCTGTTCTGTCTTCTCTCTTCTTGGTTAGGGTTCTGAGTCCAGCATTGTGATTGGGAGATCTCCAAAGAAACTTTGTCTGAGGTGTGCTCAAACCAGATTCTTGTATGTGCTAGCAAGTACAGGGCCAAGCTGGGCATTTTTTCCAGGTCCTCCATGTGGTACAGGGTTCCAAGTGGACCATCCTCTACTGCTTTCCCAGGCCATAAGCTGGGGACTGTATAGGAAGCAGAGCAGCTGGAACATGAACCAGTGCCCCTATGGGATGCTGGTGCTTGGAGGTAGAGGATTAGTCAGTTAGTCAATGTGCTAGCCCCTAAATAAATAAATCTAAAGAAAGCAAATACGTAACATGGGGCTGCAATAAGTGGATGAGTAAGGTTTGCTCCTACTCTAAATTTCATTACAAGCTAAAGGCATGGGAGGGAAAGGAGGATGAATCACAACTCCTTGGTCATATCTCATTTCCAGGAGGCCTTAGAGGTGTAAGACCTGTCCCTATAAGCAATCTTCCTCATAGAAGGATCATGTGCTCCTGCCACAGCCAGAGATCTGTCAGTTTTTGAAAGGTGTGAGTTCTTCTTCTTCTCATAGTCCCCCTGGCCCTTTTTGTCTCTCTGCCCTCCCTGAAGATCCTAGCAGTTTCACAGAAGGGCAGCGCTAGGGTCTATGTAAGTGAAAGAAGCTGTAGGTCCTTCATATTCTTCAGGACAAATTATTTCTGAGGCAAATAAAACTTTCCTTTAGGGAGAAAGGCTGGTGTTGACCTATTTAAGCTGTGTTAATAGGCAGATCCAGCCACTGATCTTACTGAAGTCACATGTCCTGCATATAGAGGATGTGTGGTGAGGGAGGGTCAGGAGCAGGCTAGCTGCAGCTAGTAAAGGAAGGTGATGCATGAGATCCCATGCCATTGTGGGTGTATAAGCAAATCTACCTGTTGGAAGTAGGGTACAAGAAAAGAGTATGTCTGCCAGGTGCCCAAGGTGGGAATTGGTATTCCAGTGACCAAAAGCTTTGGTTCTTACTGTTTATTAACCCCTAACTATGAGCTCCATGTGAGGACTCTTAGGAGCATGAATATCACTTCCTGTTTGCTGCCTTGGGGCTGCAGGTGGAAGACCCACTTTTCCACTCTTTCTTCTCTCTCTGAGTGCGATTGGATTTTCTTTTCTCAGGTAGTAACACTTCTCTGCATGACTCATTTAGTGTAGAAAAGCATAAATGTTTACAAAAATATTTGAAAAATATAAAATGGAGAAATTATTTTAAAGTTTTCAGTTACTGGGTTTTGCTATTAAAAATAATCTTCCCTCTAGCATGGGTATCTCAATACTAGCACCGAAGCGCAAGATCCCAATCCTGGCTGATTTGAGTTCCTGACTGCCTGTGAAGTTTGGCAGCCACTCTATATGCTTCAACTGTTTCCTAGCTCCTTCACTGGGGGCTGGGTGTGGGCCTTTCTCCTGCTGTCATTTGGAGTCTGTCTGGACTGACTGAGCTCATTGCTCATGTGTTGTCAGAAGTACCTCTGGGAATGTTGAATAAGTTGACCTGAAATAGGTTAAGTAGTTTGTTACATGTCTTAGACCCCTGGCTACAGAGTCCATGATACTTTGTAGTTATTAATCTTTAAACATAGCCTGAGTGGTACACTGCAGGTACAGGATGGTGCTTTTGCTGTTTATAGGAATAGTTCTGGCTATATCTTCTCAGTTAAATTACTTCGGAATTTATTTGAAGTCGTGGCAGTTGTGGAGAAAGACATCAATTCCATTATCTCCGTGGACACCTTAGTAAATCTAAGCTAATCAATCCTTTCCAGCACTTCTTGATACTCAGAAAAGCAGTGTTTCACCCAAAAGATGAATGTTATTGTTGACTCTTACTGATTTATTCTTCTGTTACTATACAAATTGTTTGATGCTTTGTTTCTTTTTAGTTATGTCAGCTGTTGTTCATTTCTAGTCTACAAATTGCTAGCTTTTTTAAGATTTATTTTTATCTGAAAAGCAGAACTGTAGAGAGGAGGAAAGACACATAAACATACATACATAGAAAGTATTTCCATCAGTTGGTTCACTCCCCAAATGGCAACAATGGTCAGATCTGGTCCAGGATGTAGTCAAGAACCAGGAACCTGAAGCATCCTCCAGGTGTTGTTCATGGGTACAGGGCGTTTGAGCCATCCTCCACTGCTTTCTCAGGTTTATCAGCAGGGAGCTGCCTTGGAAGTGGAGCAGCCTGGACATGAAACAGTGCCCATATGGAATACTGGTGCTGCGGGTGAAGGTTTAGTCTACTGAGCCATGGTACTGGCTCCTAAATTGTTATTTTTAAAAATATGATGTTCTGAGGGCCAGTGCGGTGGCCTAACAGCTAAAGTCCTCACCTTGAATGTGCCAGGATCCCAAGTGCGTGCTGGTTCTAATCCTGGCAGCTCCGCTTCCCATCCAGCTCCCTGACCGTGGCCTGGGAAAGCAGTAGAGGATGGCCCAAAGCCTTAGGATCCTGCACCTGTGTGGAGGGAGACCCAGAAGAGCTCCGGGCTCCTGGGTTCAGATTGGCGTAGCTCTGGCCATTGCAGTCACTTTGTTGGTGAATCATTGGACAGAAGATCTTCCTCTGTCTCTCCCCCTCTCTGTATATCTGACTTTGCAATAAAAATAAATAAATCTTTTTTTAAAAATATGTTCTGAACCTTTTGATTCTGCACAAGATGTAATAGACTCATTTTCCTTACTTCTTCATTAAACATTACTAGAAATTCTGAAGGTGATGCTAAAAGGCAATATAGAAAAACTCTTACAGGTGGTAAGAAGGTAGTAGATTGCCTGGGTGTCTTGAAACTTGAGAAATGACATGGCCTTGAGTTCCCTAGGTTTTCTTCTTGTCCTGTATATTTCACAAATGGACTCTGGAGTTAAGCCATATTCTGTAAATACCATCAGGCACATACTTTTAAAAATTCTAAGAAAAACGGGGCCCGGGGCAGTGCCTTAGCGGCTAAAGTCCTCGCCTTGAACACGCCAGGATCCCATGTAGGCCCCGGTTCTGATACCGGCAGCTCTGCTTCCCATCCAGCTCCCTGCTTGTGGCCTGGCCAGGCAGTCAAGGATGGCCCAGGGACACTGCACCGTATGGGAGAGCTGGAGGAATTTCCTGTCTCCTGGCTTTGGATTCGCAGAGCACCAGTCATTGCGGTCACTTGGGGGGTGAATCATTGGACCGAGGATCTTCCTCTCTGTCTCTCCACCTCTCTGTATATCTGACTTTGCAATAAAAATAAATAAATCTTAAAAAAAAAAAAACTCTAAGAAAAACCTACTCTTTCTAGATAGAGGACTGAGAAAAGGATATAAACAGGACAAAGAATATTTTTGACCATAGCTGTCCTGCTCTAGTCATAAGCCACAAAAAACCTCTACCCCTGCAGTTAGTGCCAATAAAAGTGAAATGGCAGTTCTTGGACTCCACCTTCTGCTTGTCAGTGATAACAGGCTGTACCAAAGTCCCAAATTTGCAGAAACCACGTAGGGAGCCTGAAGTTACCCCTCCCCAAAGTAGCATGATATAAGGTAGTGCTCTGCTTCATCCAGTAAGATGGCCTAACCTGGTGACAGTAAGGAAGCATCCTTCCTCCCCTTTAGGGCCGGTGAGGAGTGTGAACACTATCCTTCAGTCAGCAGTGATGAGCCAGGGCTTCAATTCCCCCACTAAGATGGTGTCATCAGAGGCCGAGGGCAGAGCCTAGATCTGATCCCAGTGTCCAGCATTCCTTGGTGACAGGCATTGCTCCTCTGACCCCCATAATGAGAGTGCCATAGGACTTTGGAGACAAGGGAGCTG